GAGAACAACAATGATGGCAGAACTGAGAGACGGTGATAGTGGATCTCAGAGATGATCGACGCCGGAGATAAGAGAAGCTGTCGCCGTCTCGTGATCACCGTCTCTATCAGTGATCGATCTCTTTCTATTTTCCCAGAAAAAAAAATTGTAATTAAACAAAGAAAGAAAGGGGTATTGTGGTAAAATGCTTAGACTAGTGAAACCTATTTTGTAATTTTGGACCTTGAGTGTTAGCTTAGGAACAAAAAATGGTTTGAGTCTATCTAGGGCTCTTTCTCTAAATGTAAAGTATATGTTATTACTATATTTAAAAATTTACCCAAAATATAAATTAATATTAAATGTAATTATCCATGTCATATTTTACCATAAACCATATCATCAGTTTTAGTAGCAATATCACCATTTTTTTGTGAAAGTAATTGTAGAGATGACATGTACATATATAAAAAACTAATGATTTAAACTAAACAATGTTTACAAAATTTGTAGATATATAAGAAAAAATGATTTTATGATTAGAAATTTATATTTTTTAAAAAATTGTAGCAAATTTTTGAAAACTTTAGTAATAAAAATTGTATAATATAAAAAACAAAATAGAAAATATTTAAAAATTTGTAGTGTTATACTTGAATATATTTATTTTAATTTTTACGATATTTAAAAATTTTACCATAAATAAATATCAACATTAACAGTAAAGTATGTGTTATTACTATATTTAAAAAGTTTAACAAAAATATAAATCAACATTAAATGTAATTACTCATATCATATTTTTTATAAGTCATGTAATCAATTTTAATAGTCATATCAAATTTTTTTTCTATTATTTTTTTATGAAAATGAACTTTTTTATAATATTTATTATGAAAATGACATGTGGCAAAATTATTGAGCTGGTTTTTATACCTTCGACATCGTACGACCTGTCGAATATAATTTATTTCTTCTTCTTTTTAAATACTCCCTCTGTTTTTAAATAAGTGTCATTTTGACTCTTTGCACATAAATTAAGAAAATTGTATAATAGACTAATATATCCTTATTTAATATATGTTTAATTAAATGAAAATAATTTAAGTAAAATACTATTGGTTATTCAAAAGGGTAAAAAATAGATTTAATGTACAAAATTACATTGGAATTGTAGAATGACACTTTTTTTGAAACAAAATTAAAAGGCTAAAGTGACACTTATTTAAAAACAGAGGGAGTATACTATTATTTCTTCTAGGTCAAGCATTCTACGATTACTTTAAAAATTCGTTAACAATTAACAACAAACTTTTTATTTGTTTCCAACGTATTATTTCATCCTTCACAAGTACGACTATGTGCTATTACCTCCGTCCACGTTTTGATCATATCAAATATAAATATTGGGTCGACCAATTCTTGTAAGGCGAGTCTAATTCCTCCTTTCCGGAGGCGATTATATTTATGAACTATAACTATAATATATTTATATATACGCGTGTTTAATTAATATGACATGGACCATGTACATATAAATAAGCGGATCTAAATACATTTTGTCTCTTGATGATGGAGGTATCAAACATGGTTCAAGCTTCGTTCATTAGTTTTCTCCTCGGCTTTTCAATCATGATATTTCCTAATGCAGCGGGTTAGTTATTCTACCTACGTTTTAGTTCTTAGTTTTTTTTGTCGAACTTTATAGTTCTTAGTTCTTCACTAAATCAAACATTTCATAGATATTTATTAGGAATGGGTTTTAACATGTATAAGTGGATTAGTCGAACAAGATCTCTATATAAAATAGGATGTAAAACTTATAATTTTAATTATATTTTTAATATAGGACCTATAATTTCAAAAAATTAACATATATATATATATATGGAGCTATTAAATGTTAAAACTACATCACCTTTTTAAATAACGTTAAAAACTAAACATGGTATAAAAATAATTTGAAAGGACACTGATATTTATGTTAGTGGAGATTGAGCCTGAGTAATGAATGTATGATGGATTGGTTTCAGACATAAACATAGATTGTGGATTATCTAGTTCGCACACTGACTTGCGGAACAGAACGTGGGTGGGAGACACGGACTTTGTATCAACCGGTTTATCATACAAAATTGATACTACCGTAGCTGCTGACTATCTAAGCACACTCCGGTATTTTCCGACCGGAGAGACAAATTGTTACGCCAACATTCCAGTGGATAAAAGCGGAAAAGTGTTAGTTAGGACAATGTTCTACTACGGGTACTACGACGGAAAATACGACCCTCCCAGGTTTGATGTCGTCTATGATGGAAAACATCGAGACACAGTCCACACAGCAAGTTCGGATGCTGTTTTCTCAGAGGCGATTTTTGTTTCGGAAAGCGGGAATACAAGTGTTTGTTTTGTCCGCACGTTTTTGAACGAGCACCCATTTGTTCTACCATTGAAGTAAGAAGCTTGGACGCGTCCATGTACACAGATCTTGGCCCCAAAGAAGGTTACATTCTCCAATGACGGATCGCCTACGGTAGGAAGGAGTTAGTGAGGTAAGTAAATGTTGTGAAACTCAGTGAATTACTATTTGAAGAAAGGGGTAAAAAAAATTAGAGAAAAAAATTTGATTGAGGCAAATATGTGTTATAAAGTTAATTTATGACTAGGTAAATGACTAAGTTACATTCCCTTACACCCCGTATTTATATTTTCAAGAATATTATTTAATCTAGTAGAAGTAGATTTTCTAATGTAGCATTTTGTCAATAGTAAAGCTAAGAAAGTTAGTTTGGCATTCTTCTTTCCCGGTTTAATCGATTTATTTTTAATTGGTTTGTGTCTCTGTTGAGTGGGAGATGATAATTCTATGCAAACTACGTTTACAGGTCGCCGTTTGATCCTTATGATCGATTTTGGGTTGAACCAAGTCCGGATTATTCAGTTACGGTACTAACAAGTGCTGCCGCTTCAATAAACACAACAAAATCAGAGAACCGGCCACCTGAGATTGTCCTCCGCACGTCATGGTCGGAGAAGGATATGTCATTCTCTAATCTAAAACTTCCATTTAATGGAGTAATGTTTTACCTAGTCATGTATTTCTCGGAGCCAATCAGCCTTAGTTCCGACCAAAAGCGTTCTTTCAATGTTTACTATGGTGCTGTTCGTTTGCTCACCCAGGTGATCCAAGATGCAAATAAATGTTCGTTTTGTACATTAAAATGTTACAGCTAGATGGATCACCCAACTGATTTTTTTAAAACTCATCTCAAATTCTCACCCAAATGAGGGTGAGTCTTGATGGTGCATCTAGATGCAGATGCATCTAGTTCAGTCTAAAATCATAAATGACAAAAATAACCTTTTAAAATAAATTTAATTTTTCAAATAAAAAATACTAAATTTTTTTATGCAAATATATTTTTCCGTAAAAACCAAAAAATGATTTTTTTGCCAAACCGTAAAAACCGAAAAATGTTTTTTCCACCAAGATCGCAAAAAATACACTTTCCCGCTAAAACCATAAAAATACATATTCCCGCCAAAACCGCAAAAATACATATTCCCGCCAAAACCGAAAAACGCATTTTCCTGTCAAAACCACAAAAACGTATTTTCACGCCAAAACCGTAAAAATATGTTTTCCCGCTAAAACCGTAAAAACGTATTTTCCCGCCAAAACCGCAAAAAAACGTGTTTTCCTGCCAAACCGTAAAAACGCATTTTCTACCAAAACCGCAAAATTCCCGCCAAAACACGTTTTCCCGCCAAAAACACATAAAACACGTTTTCCCGTCAAAACTGTAAAACACATTTTCTACCAAAACCGCAAAAACATGTTTTTTCGCCAAAACCGCAAAAACGCGTTTTCCTGCGAAAACCGCAAAAACACGTTTTCACGCCAAAACCATAAAACATATTTTCCCGCCAAAACTGTTAAAACGCGTTTTCTCGCCAAAACCGTAAAAATGCGTTTTCCCGCCAAAAACACATAAAACACGTTATCCTGCCAAAACTTTAAAACACATTTTCTACCAAAACCGTAAAAATACATTTTCCCGCAAAAACGCGTTTTCCCGCAAAAACCGCAAAAACACGTTTTCACGCCAAAACCATAAAAACGTATTTTCCCGCCAAAACTGCAAAAATGCGTTTTCTCGCCAAAACCGTAAAAACGCGTTTTCTCGCCAAAATTGTAAAAAGTGTTTTCCCGCTAAAACCGTAAAAACACATTTTTGTGTCAAAATCGTAAACGTTAATTTTTCTGGGAAAACTGGAAAAACGCATTTTTCATCAAATCGTAAAAATGCATTTTCCCGCTAAAAAGATAAACACAAATTTATTTTATTTATTTTATTAACGAATCCATCTGGATGCAGATGCAAGTTAAAAAAAAAAACAAATGAACATAGTTACATTCAGATGAATCATCTAGATATATAGACGAAATAGAGAAACGAACAACATCTAGATGGAACATCTGGATAAGGCATCTGGATGGACCATCTGGATGCATCTTTCAGATGTACAAACGAACAGGGCCTATGACAAAAATCAAGTGGGTTCGAGTCTAGTTGTGCCACCGTTCGGGGCAGTGACACAGACGAGCCTGAGAGGTGTGGTGATGAGTTCTAACCCTTCTCTGGTATTTAAGGCTACACATGACTCAAATTTGCCGCCACTTATCAACGCTCTCGAGCTTTATGTCGTTAGCAATAGTGATGGAAGAGGAGGAGGTGGTAACGGAACCAAACCAACCAACACCACTGGAGAAGATGGTGGTGGCAGCTCGGGCTCTGGTGGAGGAGGAAGTGGAAAAGGAACTAACACCAGTGGTGGTAGTGGTGGCAGCTCGGGCTCTGGTGTAGGCAACTCGGGTATGTATTTAATTTTCATATAATCGTATCTATACTTGGTTTAAATTAGTCTAGGTATAACTCAATCTTGCATACAGATAATATTTCATAGAGGAGATTTTGAAATTTGCAGAAGTCCTTTTTTGCGCTTTATCCCAAAACCCAAATGTATTGCCATACTTTTATTTGTCAAACGTGGTTGGGAAAGAAAAATGGGAATTATGCTAATATAGAACAAGAAAACAGGTCTCATGTCCCTTTAGTATATCATATTTTTTGACCATATTTTCTCCCTTTTACCCTTTCCATTTATAAAAATTAATAAAATAAATAGTTCTATTACTCGAAAAAATATTTAAAAATACACAGAAGTGATTAAATTTCTATATACATAAACTGATATTTTTTTTAATTTCAAAATTTTGGTAAATTAAAAATTTTAATTACGTTCTACGGAGAGTAGAATTCACATTCTACGAGAAATCGCATAGTAGAACCCATATTCCACGTAAAGCAATTATCTCTACAGTTTGTAGAACGCATATTCCACGTAAACCAATTATCTCTACAGTTTGTAGAACCCATATTCTACGTTTTTAAAGACTTCTACAAAAAATCTGAATGTAGGTTCTACGTTTATATCCACTTCTACGAATGTCAGAATACGATTTCTACTTAAAACGCAGATCTCTACATATAGTAGAATGTGCTTCTCGAGACATGTTTGTGTGTCTACGCTGTGTAGAAGGTACCTTCTACGGATAAAACTAAACAAAATTCCGAAAATTTGGGAAAAAATCTAGGAAAATATTCAAAAAGATTTGTCCATAACTCCACCTTCCTTATGTGTGTGAAACGAATTTTGACGCCAAAAAAACCATAGCTTCTTCAACCCTCTTAATCTATCCTCCCTCCATTGTGTTTCTTTTGATTTTCACAAATTTTCTTGTACCATGCACATCTATACTACTTGCGGTGTATGGGAAGTAGGTGCTACGGGGTGGGTGTTTTCGGCTGATGACAGAGGGGGAAGATTACAATTATTGGAAGCAAATTCTACCTTAGAGGATTTAAAGAGAATGGTGTTGGAGGATTATGATATGGAAGAAGATATGTTAGCCGATATGGAACTGAGTTATTTACCTGCTGGGTTGATCAATACATC